GATAATGAAACCTCATTTCAATGTGCTTGCTTCGACCATGAGCTATTGGATTCTTCACCAAGTTGATAGCTGACATGCTGTCTATCTTCATGGTAATTGCTCCATGATTCTTCCCTGTGATTTATTCGACTAAGTTCACCATCCAAGTTGCTTGACATGCACAAAGAGAAGCAGCTATATATCCTGCTTCGCATGATGATAATGCCACTACTGGTTCCTTTCTCGAATTCCAAGCAACTGGTGCACCACCTAACATAAACACATAACCAGCTGTGGATTTTCGATCCTCAGCATCACTACACCAACTGGAGTCTGTGTATCCCACTAACTTGAATTCTTTTCCTTCATCAGCTGCTGGAAACAAAATACCATAGTCGAGAGTTCCTTTCAGATACCTCAGTATCCTCTTCGCCGCTGCTAGGTGTGATACCTTTGGCTTCTGCATGAATCTACTTACCATACCAACATTGTATGCTAAGTCAGACCTTGTGTGACAAAGGTATCTAAGTGACCCAATAATTCTTCTGTATTGGGTTGGGTCGACATCATCTTCATCTGAATCCTTCGACAGTTGCAATCTGGGCTCAGCTGGAGTCGAAGTTTGGTTGCAATCTTGCATCTCAAATCTCTTGAGTATTTCACCTGCATATCTTCTTTGGTGCATCATCAAACCTCTACTTGTCTTGTAGAATTCGATGCCAAGGAAATATGAGAGATTTCCCAAGTCTGACATTTCAAACTCCTCACTTAGGTCATGTTTGAAATCTTCGATCTCCTTCTTGCAACTCCCTGTTATCAACAAATCATCAACATAGAGACATAGTATAAGCAATTCGCCATTGCTTCTTCTTACATATACTCCATGCTCAGTTGTACACTTCACAAATTCCTTCTCCCTTAAGAAGCTGTCGATTTTCTTATTCCAGGCTCTTGGAGCTTGCTTAAGTCCATACAGGGCTTTATGAAGCCTGTACACCTTTCTTTCTTCGCCTTGTTTCACAAACCCAGCTGGTTGTGCAACATAAACTTCTTCGTCTAAGGGGCCATTAAGGAATGCACGCTTCACGTCCGTCTGACATGTGTGTCAGTTTTTCATATTTGCTAGACCAACAACCAACCTGATTGTTTCGATTCTAGCAACAGGTGCGAATACTTCATCGAAGTTGATTCCTTCCTTCTGAAGAAATCCTTTCGCCACAAGTCTCGCCTTGTGTCGAGTTACTTCTCCTTTAGGATTTACCTTTACCGTGTAAACCCACTTCACATCAATTGCCTTCTTGCCTTGCGGCAATTCGACAAGTGACCAGGTATCATTGACTTCGATGGACTCCAACTCTTCAGTCATTGCTTTCATCCACTTCGAATCTTTCAATGCCTCAGCTGCATTGACTGGTTCGACATCTGCGTAAAAAGCATAATGTACCAACTCACCCTCTTCATCGACTACATCATATGATGTAATTACACATTCTTGCAACCTTGCAGGCATGTGTCTTGTTCGTCGAGGTCTGCTCGAACCTGCTTCATCTGCAACTGGTTCCTGTCGAACTTCTATTTCAACTTCAGTGGATGGTTCTTCACAAGAGATTCTCACTGAATCCTTCTTGGCATTCTCAGTCCAATCCCATTCTTTAAGCTCATCTATGATCACGTCCCTGCTGATCACTACCTGCTTATTCATCGGGTCGAACAGCTTGTACCCTCCTGTCGAATGATACCCTATCAAGATCATCTGATTCGACTTATCATCAAGCTTCCTTCTCAACTGATCTAGCACATGTCTATGTGCTATAGATCCAAACACCTTCAAGTGACTGAGACTAGGCTTGACACCAGACCAACATTCTTCTGGTGTGATTCCTTTAAGCTTCTTCGTCAGACATCTGTTCAATATATATGTTGCTGTCGAAACTGCTTCTCCCTATAATTCTTTAGGTAGATGCTTTCCATTCAGCATACTTTTCACCATATTCACGATGGTTCTGTTCTTGCATTCTGCAATCCCATTTTGCTGTGGAGTGTAAGGTGGCACCACCTCATGCACAATCCCTTCTTTTACACATAGTGTATCGAACTCTTTCGACACATACTCTCCACCACCAGCAGTCCTCAGAATTTTCAGCTTTCGACCACTTTGTCTTTCGACCATGGACTTGAATCTGGAAAATACCTCAATCACATCACTTTTCTTCTTGATGAGGTAAGTCCATAACTTTCGACTGTAATCATCTATAAACGTGATAAAGTATCTATTGCCACCAATCGAATCTACATGGATTGGACCACATATATCAGAGTATATGACTTCAAGTATTTCTTTCGACTTCCTTCCTGCATCCTTGCTGAAGTTATTCTTGTGTTGTTTCGACTGAACACACTCTTCACAGACTTCACTTGGAATGTCGATTTTTGGTAATCCTGAAACCATATTTCTTCTCTTCAGTTCTGTGATGTCATTAAAATTGAGATGACCTAGTCGAAAATGCCATAACCACTCATCTCTGCTGGCTGCAGTTGCTAGACATCTGTGCTCCATCACATTGAGTCCAATCTTGAAGGTCCTATTCCGAGACATTGGAGCCTTCAAGATTACTCTACCACCTGCGTCGAGAACTCTCATCATCTTGTCTTCGACAACTACCTTGTAGTTCTTTTCGACAAGCTGCCCTATACTGAGCAAATTACTCTTCATGCCTGGTATGTACAACACATTGGAGATTGTTGACCTTTTGCCATCTTTCCTCATAATCAGAACATCACCAACACCTTCAGCTGCTAGAGTGTTGTCATTTGCAAACTTCACTGTGTCCTTCGACGAGGGCTTCATGTTGACAAACCAATCTTTCCTTCCAGTCATGTGTGATGAGCATCCTGAGTCAAAGTACCACTGATCTTGGAATCTTTCTTCATCTCTTGTTGTGACCATTAGCAACGTTTCTTCTTCTTCATGTTTCGCCAGTTTTGCATCAGCTTCTTGATTTCTCTTCCTTTCTAGACAATCACTAAAATAATGACCATACTTCTAGCAATTGAAACATTGAATGTGGCTTTTGTCTGTCTTCCGACCACCACCTCTTCCTTTACCTGCAACATCACCTCTTTGTTTGCCTTGGTTCCAAGGTTTCTTCTGATTCGACTGGTTTCCTCCTTTGTTGCCATTCCAGTTACCTTTGCCTTTTCTTTCCTTTTCTGACTGCGCCTGCAAAGCCATATCTTTTGACTTTCCTGCAGCTCTCTCAGCCATCCTCTGTTCATGAGACTCAAGAGTCCCTTGAAGCTCTTCCTTCGTCAATACTGACAGATTTTTCGACTCTTCTATGGCAACTACCACGTGGTCGAATTTTGGAGCCAACGATCTCAAAATCTTTGAGACAACCGCTTTCGTCGTTAGCGCTTCTCCACATACTTTGATTTGATTCACCAACTTTGTAACTCTGGTGAAGAAATCTGTAATGCTCTCGTTGTCTTCCATCTGAAGCAACTCATAGGTTCTCTTGTGAGTTTGTAACCTCACCTCTTTCACCTTCTCTGCGCCTCCAAACGACTTTTCAAGAATCTCCCATGCTTCTTTTGCTGAATCAACATCACTAACCTTTTCAAAGTTATCAGGATCAACACACTGATGAATTATAAAGAGTGCTTTATAATCCTTCTTCTTCAATTCTTTGTGCGCAGCCTTTTCCGCCTCCGTTGCGTTCTCCCCAAGCGATGTTACTCCGTCCTTCACAAGATCCCAAAGATCTTGATAACAGAAAATCACCTTAATCTGCTTGCACCAAATCTCATAATTGTCTTTCTTGAGAATTGGCAGAGTCGCCGGAAAGTTGTCGTTCGGATAATTCATCGCCATCACTATCTTCCTTCCTTGAATCTCTCAACCGGAGCTCTGATACCAGATGTTGGAAATTCACCTCACACCCTATGAAGAATTCCCTTCAATCTTGATCTCAAGATTGACGAACAAACCCACAATATGATAGTAATGGTAATAACAAGTAATTATCAAGAACAACAAAAGAAAAGAAGAACAAACAAGAAAGAGAAGAATGAGAGAAGTATTGAGTTACCCACAACTGTGGGATTTCTGATTTTATTGAACCTTCACTTGCTAACACTGCAACTGTGAATCTAGTTCTAATGTTGTGTTATAGAATACAAAGTAAGACACCCTATTTATAGTTTTAGGTTACACTAACCCAAAACATAAAAGACCCAAAATATTAAAATCAAATCTAATCATATCAAATCAAATCAAAACAATGAATTACATTTAACAGGGACTAGATACACTATTGGTTGATAAGAGAAACTAGTATATATCTTTGAGTTCTTTATTTTTCTGCATTTTACTTCATAAGTTCATCAACATATTTTCAGAAAAATAAAAATATAATAATCATCGCTTAAAATAATTTTTTTTTTGAAAAATCTAATTCACCATCCTCTCCCTCTTTGAGATTGCACTATATACTTATAAAGGTCGCGTTTGATGCATGGTAAGATGACAATATTAGAAAGAATACACATAAAATTTGTATTAAGGAGAGTATATATATATAGAAAAGTTAAACAACAAAAGATAGAGAAAGACCTAAAAAAAAATATATAAAAAAAATTATTAAAGAAGATTTTAAGATTAATGATTTTTGGATATAATGATAATCCTTAATAAATAATATAGTCAAATTTAATCTATGTAGCTGACTTTATTTATTGAAATAAAACTTGATGTTTGTTGTTGTATGCTATTACTTAAATCACTTTGGTAGTATTAGATTTATTTTTCATTAATCCCGGAAATTGCTCTACATAGCTCTAACCCATGTTGGATTTAATATTGTCCATCTAATTCGAGTACTTCTTTCATATTATTGTTTACTCGAAAACAACAAGTATTATTATTGACTTTATTTCTGTAGCAATTACATTCACTTTATTATACATCCTCTAAACATACGAGGTTATTATTATTTTGGAACAATACATAAACTTCCCATGTACTACATGTTTGAAGTGAAAGACCAAGAGAGAATATCATGAGTCTCAACCAAATCCCCAGTGGAAGCAGAGAACCCAATTTGAACAAATTCAGGAAGAAAACTTGTCAAATCAATGTTATAAACCAAGCTAGAATCCCCATTCAATGGTCCCTTTTTAGAATAACTTACCAACACCTTCAAATTCTTCTCCCTAGAATCATATTCTATACGAGCCTTTCCTACATTTCCATCTTCAAAATCATTATACCAAGGTGTATAAGCCACTGACTTAATAGAATTAATATCAATACCTATATGAGAAAATTGTGACAATGGACTTGGATCCCATTCATTTGCAAAACTATCAAACTCGACAAGAAGAATTTGTTTGGCGTATAACGCGGTTTCCTTGGAAAACATTCCGAGGAAACCACCTTCCGAATTTTTCTTGTTTGGGATTTTGTAATCGGGCGATACAATAAAGAAAGCAAACCCGTCGCCGTGATCGATTCTACCGTTTGTGTTCACTAAAAAGGTGAATTCGGTTATAAAACTCGCGATTTTTCCAGTGGTTTTGTCGTAAATTTGGATAGGTTCTATCAATCCAAATTGACCAGCACTATGTTTGAGTGGATTACCGTAACCATCTTTCTTTGTTAATTGTATTACTCCATTTTTCAACGTGGCGTCGTTTGCAAAACCTACACCGGTTTTGAAAACGTCGGGTGAAAATGTCGGGAAGTTGAAGGAAAATTCGGATTCGACATTGGTAGCAAGAAAAAGTAAATATATTGAGGATGTTAACAAAACAAAATTAGAGATTTTGGTGATGGTAGTAATAGTCATGTTTATATGTTGTTAATGATGAAATTAAGTATGAATGAAGCATGAAAACATAACTAAGGTATTTATAGTGACAAGTACGTGAAAAACAATCATGCAATGTCTAATTGAATCAACAAACATAGATCCTAGGTTTTGGTGTGTCCCAAAAAATTGGACATGCTTAGAACTAAGCGTGTGTGTTGTCTATATATATTTGTTCTTATACTTTGATATGTGGAGGTTAGTGGTTAAAATTTAGGTAAAAAATATTTTTCACAAGATGATAACTAGGTACTAATAAGCTAGACAGTTAGCTACATGATAGATAAATGATTGTTAACAACCAACCTAGAATTGTGTTAATGAAAATTCTATTATTACAATTTTATAAGTTTACTATTAAAAGAAATAATTATTTAATATTTATATGAGTGTGTTTAGTGTAGATTGCAAAATATGATGCTACATATTATTTATATAATAATAAAATAATCAATACACTTTAAATTTTGAAGTTGTTCATATAAAAAGTAAAAACCAACGAAAAAACTCAAGAGAATCATTTAAAGTCAGAAATAGTGGTAAAAGAGAGAAAATAAAACAATGAAGAGGATCATAACTAAATTAATAAAATTTGAAAATAACAACTTAGATATTTACTGTGTTAATGTTGTTTAGCAATTACATAGTTGGTATTGAGATTTTGAATAAAGTTATGAGGTAATAGTTGAGGTTGCAATGCTCTATGCTTTCCTAGATAGGGCATATAAACATCTTGTTTATTCAATCTCATAATCAAGCAACCGCAAACACTAAGAACTAATAAGTGCTAAATTTAGAATGAGAATTTATGATTGCAAGTGTAAAATTTGTTAGATAAATTCAGAAATTTATTAGATAAAAAAAATACTAAATTTTATTATATCAAAACATAATTTTGACAATCACTCTCAAGAGTGTTTAACAGAAATATTAAAAAAAATAAAAAATCTTAATGTGCTTTTAATTATAAAATAAAAAATTGCATAATATATTAAAATGCTATTTTTGAGATTGAAATAAATTTGAATAGCTTAAAAAGCTTTCCTACATCAGCTTCCTCCATCTTTGAAGAATTCGACCTCGAATTTTCTTCTTGATAAAGAGCCTTATCTGTTTGATATTCATGAATGTCGACAACATTGAAAATAATGGATATATTCATGAAATTAGGAGAGCTACCACATAAGCATTATCATTAATCTTTCAGGTCATTGTGAACGAGTCATACTTGCTTGGTTGAAGCTTGTTGTAAGTACGAACTGGAAATCTCTCCTTACGCAGAAACATCATCACATCGTCTCTAACATTGAAAATTTTAATCACTATTACAAATATTACATTTTATAACAAAGTTTTCACCTCACTCAACAAAAATCCGAGGTAAAATTTTATGACTCGCTATATTTTTTTTCTTCAAGAAAATATCATATATTCCATCAGTTTATGAAAAAAATCGAGGGATAAACTATTTCAAGGTACATGCTTTGAGTCAAAACAATTGCAACTTTTGTTTTTTCTTTAAAAGTGAGGTATTTCTTATTATTTAAGATTCTTTTTATTATTGAATATTCTATTCCATCAATTTCTGAAATAACCGAGGGGTACATACACAGATTTTACTATAAAAGGATTCCTTCACTAAGTTTTACCATAAACCTAAATCAAAAGTGCAACCGCTCCATACTCTTAAACATCCTCATGTCTGATAGATTGCGAGAAATAAAAAACGTTTGGTTTTGTGTTATTGTTCTTCCTAGACTAACCTTTAACAAATCATTTTTCTGTTCTTGCAATCTATCTAATGTAACGGTGTTGGTGTTGTTCTTGTTGTTGTTCATGTCAATGTTTAATGGAATAACTTTCCAATGTTATTAATCAAAGCAAACTTTCTATAATATATTGACACCTTCAGTTGACAACATTGAGAAATTTATTTTTAATCATATTGCAACACACAAAGAAATTTGTGAATGGCAAAATTGAAAAACAATACATGTTACTTTCAATTTTTTCCATTCACATTTTTTGGCAATAGAAGTTATCTATGATTTCATCTCTTTTAGAAACAGAGGTCAGAACTGAAAGGAAAAAATAAGTGTGTTTATTGAGCTTCTTCGCAATCCTTAAATAAATATTTATCGTCCATTTAGTGAGTGTCAATGCTCAAGACACTGCCATTAGTGATCTATATGAAACCTAAAAGAAATTCATTCAGAAGGCTCATGCCACATTATAAAAGCATTCTGAATATCAAAAATTTATCATGAAAACAATGAAACTTGTTTGTTATTTTTTAGAAATATTGAAACATTGTTCTCTATGATCGAGCAGAAAAATAGTTGGGTTTAAGGATCAAATATTTGAGTTTAAAGTTTTTTTTTCTTTAACAATCATACAAATGAATATTTATTTTATTCATCTAACCCATTTTTTGTTTTATATCACAAACAGATGCATAAAGTATCTAACATTTGTTCTTTCTAAGATTCAAGGAAATGAGGATCCAACATTTGTTCTTCACCTACATTGATGACGATGAATCGGATTCAAAATTTGTCATATATTCTTACTTTAATATTTTGTGTAAACAATGTAAAATTTTGGGTAAATAGTGAAATTTATAAACAATTTAGTTTAATATTCTTTGTAAACAATGTAATTTGTAGTAAAAACCAATTATTGTTCCCCTCAGATTTGGTCATAAACTGAGAAGTATGTGACATTAGTTTTGAAAATATAAAAAATGCTTTTGTTATGGATCGAATCAATGATCATTGCAACTATCTCCCGGTTATTTAGAACCAAGGGGTAAAGTGGAACGTTTTTATGACTTTCTTCATTACTGTTGCGGTGAGAATTGGATATCAAATTATTGGATTAACTTGAATCTTAATTCATGGTTCACCACTGGTCTTTAATTTGTCCAAAAGAAGGGAAAAAGATCGAATTACCCACAAGATGCAATGCAAATACAAAGCTAGAGAATCTAAGGTTCGGGAGTTTGTTAAACTTAGGGAAGGTGCTAGCATCCTAAGCCTCTGTAGTACTCTACATGAACCTCTTGTTTTATTGCATTATTGTTGTTTGCTAAGGGTTAAAAGACCTATGGATTTATTTCTAAGTATAATCGCCAAGAAATCGCATCTTGTGCCTACGTATCCTGACGGGAGTGGAATCAGAGTATTCGTAGTTCCCCTAAAAGGGATTGAGGAACCATTAACTGTTGGTCAAAGTTCCAAAGGGAAAAGGTTTTTTTTATTGATTCTAGGATAAAAGACAAGTCGTCATCTTAAGGGAGAACACTCGACTTAACCACCACAACTTGTAGGAGATGGTCTTTGCGTGGTCTTGAGAGAAGGGCTCAAAAACTCGGGTTTCATCGACGAGTATGCCACTACCTCTCTCAAGCGAAAAAGATTCTACATCTCTCGATAATATTATGGGGCGGGATAATTATATCTCAACTGTCAAGATGACTCACGTCTAATTCTCTTGTGGGGAGAATAAAATGTTTGAATTGTATTGTATAGTTGGTTTATCTAAGTTGAAAGATAAAAGAGAAAAACAGTCATTCTCAAGGGGTAGGATCTAAAGCCTAAACTGATCGACTTGAAAACTCAAGGATCAAACGGGGGGATAAATGATGCAAATGAGGTGAAATGCGCACAACTTATGAGGTCATGCACAAGTTCTTCCCTTGGACGTTACACATGCATACAAAATAAGAGAACAGGATAATAGGAGGGATAACAGTTAGATGCGGATTATGATGATAAGTGATTAATTAGGTTGGTGAATTGTAATTGGAGAAATTAAATTGTTTTTGTTGTTATTTTTGTTTAAAATCGGATTAAGTGGAAATATTAGAAACGATTAGTTAAATTAGTTTCTAAATAATTAAAAACTAGAAAATACTAAATATATTAAATTAAGTCTAAAATATTTTTGTGTTTTTGTTTAGAATTAAATTGAAAATTAAATTAAATCTAATCATATTTTTATTATTTTTATTTAATATTAAAAGAGCTAAATTAGAATTAATCTAAGATTATATTCTTTTATTTTTTCACTTTTTTGTTTTTTTCTAATTTTTTTTCCAGATTTTATATTAATATTAGGTTAGTAGTTAGTTTTTTTATTATATATATTACAAATCAGAAAAATAAAACAAAAATAAATGGGTTGGGCCGGTGATGATGAACCCACCGGACCCAACCCGGTCCGGCTCAAATCAAGCAAAATAGGGGCAAGGGTCTTTGGAACCCTGATTCCCCAAACAGAGTTGCGACGCCCTTTGCTCTTTCACTCCCTCTTCTCTCTGTCCCACAAAATCTCTTCTAATCTCTGTTTGCATTCCGATTCTTACTTCTCTCTTCTATTTCTCTTCTTCACTCATCGCGAGCTCATTTTCGCTTCTATCTTTCACTTCGAACCTGTAAACAATAGTGTAGACACAATGAAAATCGAAGGGTTAGTGGTTTTACCAAAAAAAAAAACGCGAAGATTTGGCAGCGTTAATGGTGGCTTCACGGTGGTTTTATGGTGGTGAGATGTAACGATGATGAAAAAACCCAGGAAAGAATAAGCTTCTTTCGGTTTTTCTGAGTCTCGTGTGGTGTTTGTGTTTGCGAAGCTCTGTGGGTTTTAAGTTTTCGATCTGTTTTGATGGATTTGTGAAGTCTGAGGATTTTGCGTGTGGATTGTTGAGTTTGTGTTGATGGATTTGTGGATCTCTGGGTGTTGGCAGTTCCTGGATCTCTATTGGTTTTTGAAATTTTTGTGTATCGTGAATTTGTTGATGTTGTAGGGTTTTTTGAATATCTCTGCCGGTTTCTGAGATTGTTGTTCGTGAATCCTCTTTTCCTCTTCTGTCCATCCTTTTATAACTCTAAATGTAGACAAAAAAACAACCTTTTATTATACTTCCATTTTTGGCTTGATTTGTTGAGACAAATTTCTGTCCATTTTATTATAAGTCA